TCTAAATAACATGCTTCCGGAAACCCTATGAACTTTGTTAAGTGTCATAGTTGTAGAGGGGCTTCAAGTCTTTTGTTTACAGGGTCACTATGAGCTGTGCTCAACTCCAAAGCAATCAACAACAAGAACAACAAAGTAGCATCTCATTGAGATGCTAAATTGTTTTCTCTGGTTATTAGTGAAGATGAACACGTTTACACAGGCATATTTATTGGGCATTTGCCTATACCTTTTGGGTCATTTGTTGTTCAACCTTTATTTTTTTTCTTCTATTGGATTGTCTGTATCATTGATTTCTATGAATTCTGTCTTGAATATAAGCCTGCTGTTAGTTATATTTATTTCAAACATTTTCTCCTACTCTTCTAGTTGCCTTAAAAATCTTTCTTGATGCTGTTTTTTTTAAATGAACAGAAATTCTAAATTTTAAAACATTTCAGTCTAATTTATCAATATATTTATGACTATATTTTTGTGTTTGTGATTTAAGAAAGCTTTTCACATCCAGTATCAGGATGATATTTTTCTTTCTATACATACATCTTCTCTGTCGTCGATCTTTCCTGCCTTCTGTTTTTAGAGCTACGATCTACTCAGCACTGATTTATGGATACCGTGTGAGGTTCAATGTTAACCTTTTTTCACGTTCAACTGCCTCAGGATGATTGTGAAGACATAAATTTGTCTGTGGCAATCTTGTTGCAGCAGTACTAGACAGATCACTAACACACCATCATAATTGATACATACAGTTCAGATTTACTCAACTCTTCTAAGTGCACAGTTTGGTGGTTTCTAACTTTTTCTATTGTTGTTATGATAAATAAAACGTCTACAATTGTTCTTTTACATGCTTCTCATAAATATGTGACTGATTTTTTATTCTTTGTTTGTAAATTTAATATTTAATTGTTGAATTATAGTGAATTCCATCTTATACTCTAGTATATATGCCAAATTGTCCTTCAGAGACATTTTTACCATTTTCTTCACAGTCATCTGCAATAAGACTGTCTCAGTAATACCATAGTTGTGTCTGCATTTTACCAATTTAATGGGTGTGAAGTAACATTATAATTATAATTTCCTACTTATTAGAGAAGTTTGAATAGCTTTTGATTTTCTTATCAGAAATTTAGGTTCCTTTTTCTGAGAATTTTTTGTTCATATTTTTGTATTTTAAAAAATTGTGTTGTTAAGTGTCATCAAGTCGACTTGAATGATATATCTACACCTTGCCTCATCCTGTCTGTGATGTCTGTCTGGTTCAAGCTCATTGTGGTAGTAGCTGTGTCAGTCTTTCTCATAGCTGACACTCCACTGGATTTTATAGGCTGTAAAGCATAGGGGGGTATGGGTGATTTCTTAAATCACCATCTTTCTCCATTGTGGTAGCTGTTAGGTTCAAACTGCTTGCCTTTGGACTCCTTACTACTGGACCACCAGAGCTCCTTAATATTACATAGGACACATTTATATGAAATTGTATTAAGTGCTATTGAGTTGACTATGACCCTTTGAACAACAGATCTGAACCCTGCTTTATCCTGAGTCACTTTCATGATCTCTCTTATGCTCAATCCCACTGTGGGAGCCACTATGTCAATTCATTTTGTGGAAGATCTTGATGTTTCCTATTGGCCCAGCGATAAGGATTTTTGTTTTCTTGATATCAAGATGTAATTAATATTTAAAACTGTAGTCTTTGATCTTCTGCAGCAAGTGTTTCAAGTATTCTTCACTTTCTGCATGCAAGATTGCATCAATTGTATAGTGCTAGTTGTTGATGAGTCTTCTTCCATTCCTGATGCCACATACTTTTTACTTATTGTTTCACAAGAACTCTTAACTCTGATAATTTTCTGGGACTTCAAAACAGAAGGCAAATGCCAAGATCAACACATTTTAATTGAACTGATGAGATTCATCCCCTAGTAATACCCAATCCAGGTAAGAATCAGGACAGACTAGACCAGCCACTCTGCTCTATGACCCATTAGAGTTGGAGACCAGCATGTTATTTGAGAGCTTTCTACCACTTTGTGGTCTCGGGCACTTTCCTGTCTGGACTCCACTTTGGAGAAGACTGAAGAACAAATGGAAGACAGGAAGACTGAGTTTTTCAAGAAAAAGAAGCCAAATCACCTGACTGAAGGATACATTTAAATCAGAAGGAAATATAGTTATGTAAATGGGCAAGCTTAAATTTTTCTCAAGCAGATTACAGAAAGAATTAAGAGAAAGATGAGATTAATAATAGAACATCAAGAGTTAATTATTTTTTCCACATTTGAGTGGAGGAAGTAAAGTAGGCCTTACAATTACATGATAGTCATGTCTTTTTTTCTCTTTAAAGTCATGTCTTAAATATCAAATGAGGTTTGTTGTAACTTTGTTGTTGTTAGGAGCCATTGAGTTGAGTACAAACCAAAGCAACCCTATGAACAACAGATCTTAATCCTGTGTATCCTATGCCATTCTCACACTTCCTTATACAATAGAGCCCATTGTGGTCATCATTGTGGTCAATCTACCTAGTTGAAGTATCATGTCCTTCTTCAAGGAAAAGCCCCTCCTAGCAACATGGCTGAAGTATATGAGGTGAAGGTTTATAATTTTTGTCTCCAAAGAGCACACTGTTTTTTCTTTCTTTTTTTTTTTTTTGTTAGAGCACACTGTTTTCAAGACGTATAGTTCTTTTGGCAGTTCAGAACTCTTCTCTGACATCACAATTCAAAGGCATCAGTTCTTCTTCTGCCATTCCCATGCATTGTCCAACTCTCAGATGCAAGTCATAGGAAAGACCTGACTCAGACACACCTTAGGCCTCAAACTTACACCATCATGCCTCAATTGTTTGGAGAGGTCCCTAATTGTAGACTTTCCCAGTGCAATAGGTCTCTTGGTCTCTTGACTGCTGGTATCAAGGGTGCTAATTGTGGATCCAAGTAAGATGAAGTTTTTTTCTCCATCTATCTTGATGTTGTCTATAGGTCCAGTGGTAAAATCTTTATTTGAAGCAGTTATTTCATCTTTTTTATTTCATTAACAATTAGTTGTAAGCTGGAACCCTCTTGGTTAGACAGAAAGAGCCTCTTGTTTGAAGCAGTTAGTTTCTAGGCTGTTGTTGTTGTTATGTGCCGTCGAGTC